TGTATCTGAATTTTATCTGTATCTGTAGTGTATTCTGTATTGTAGTTAGATTGTAGGTACCTGTATTGTATTTCCATTGTACTGTACTGTATAACGTTCTATCCCTCATTAACAAATCCTTGCCCTCTTTTTTCCTACCGAGATCTGCTCCAGACCTTCCCGTGGTTCTTGCCGAGCATCAACTATCGAGGACAGAAAATTCAAATTCAAAACCAGCAAAGTTTCACAAAAATCATGAAAATCGCTCGTTGGTGGCCAACGTGGAGCAAAAGAGACTTTTGTAACTCAACTAACTTTGTTCACTCTGTATTCTTAAGGAAAAATAGTATATTATTAACCAAGGTTGCAGAGCCAAGCATTCTAGACCAAGCGCAAATTAGAACCCGAGACGCGCAGCGTCGAGGGCTCTGAAGCGCGAGGTCTAGAAGTGGCTTTGCAACCGTGGTTAATATACTATTTTTTTCACTAGTAGAAACCATAAGACAATAAACTGAAAAAATAAACGTTCAATTTTTTGACGCAACATGATTTTGTTTTGATTTCTAATCAAACTTACTCTAAACCTTCAACACAAAGAAAACCGTTTATACTTGTCGCTGAGTTAATCATTTTATCTTCTACCGTCTACCAACTACCATGCGTATACTCAAGTAATGTTTGTAGCACACATTTGTTCATTTATTAAGAAATAATCACATCAAACATTGCGTACATAACCTCAATTTTTCTTTTTGAACCGGTGGTCGCAAAAGTTGAATTTGCTACCTCTAAATGAGTCGACATTTGCATGCGTCATGGCTGCTAGTGAAAAAAAAATATATTACATTTAATTTGTCATTTATAAGGACAAATAGTCATTTGCCACGCCGATGCTCATTTTTAGATTAAATGCTCACAAAACGCGTAAATGTTCAATTTATGTCCGGGGAGATACAATGTTTGCAAGTAGATACACAGTATATCGGGTAGATGCTAAGGTATATAAGAGTAATAATGAAGTAGGGACTTCGTACTTCGAATATGAGTATCTACTCAGTTTTATTCATACCGTCCAATGTCTCGCTTCAATGTTTGATTATGTTGATTATGAGCACAACGCTGATCAACTTCCGTATCCGAATTACGCATGAAATAAATCATTGCGATTTGCACCTGAGGTAGTTCGTCGCACATTTGATTGACTTCGTGGACCTTTGTCAGCTTGTCGTCTTCTCGGCATTATAATGAACTTCATAAAACGACACAGAATTATTTTCACGGTCAATCAAATCTGTAAATGTTGTCTTGAGAATTTTAAAATATTGAAAACTTCAAATTAAATCCTCGAATAACGGTAAAGGTTGAGGGTTTGTCGAAACCAACAAAGTGAATATAGGTAAATAGAATGGCAGTTCAAAATTAATAAGAAACTTTCGGAATGCGTAACTAAATTCACTTTAACGAACACTTTTCTTAAAATAAACGACGTTTTTTGTTACGAAAAAACAAAGAACGACTTGAAATGCAATACTTTTCACAATCGCACGGAAGAAATAGTTTTGTATGACACGTCAGTTAGGCGACAGGTCCGTCAGGGACGCCAATTATTCAAATTCATTCGAAGTGGCGATTCCCATGCAAAATTTAATTTTTTTTTATCTTTTAGCCGTCTTATTTTTTATAAATTTTCTTACGTATAAACCTTGTCCCGGCAATAAGGAACATGTAAAAAAAAAGAATCGTCTAATTCGGTGCAGCCGTTCTGAAGTTATGAGCGTACATACATTTCGGCGATTCATTTTTATTAATATAGATAGATAGATAGATAGATTCGTAATAGTTATTTACGTGGCAAGCTTAGTAAATTAGCCTTTACGGGCGAACCGGAATGTTTGCAGGGCGAGCGACGTAGGAGCGAGCTCTGTAATCCGGTGAGCCCCAGTAAAGGCTAGTTGCAAGCGAGCCGCGTACAACGTTTTACTTCCTCTTGCTGAAAATCCTGAAAATAAACAACTTTGGCATCTCTAGAAATTTTACTTGAAATTACAGTCATAGAAATTGTAGTTATTTTTCATAGTTTGCTCCGGTAACTATGGAAAATTGAATTGTTTGAAAATAACGGGACTGTCAATTTGTAAATTCGATTAATAATTTAAATAGTTTAATTTCGTTTCTGAGCTCTGTTAATTGTGGAATTCGATGAAGATGAAGAGTTTGAAGGTGATTTTAACGTTAGTATTAGCACAGTATTAGTGAGATTAAGAAAAAGGCCGACGCAGCGAATGTGTATTTGATTCCGGTGCTGTCATGATAACGTTTTACAGGCAAGGTGCCTGTAAAGCTGCCACGGTAACGCTTTACAGGCAGGGTGCGTGTAAAGGTTAATTTACCGAGTTAGTTTAGACGACAGTAAACGAGCTTTAACAAGACAAGAGGAAGTAAAAAAAGTTTACGTGGCGTTGATTTTGTTGTCAAGGAGATTCTATGTTTATTGCAAACACGGCGTCTATTCACGGTGTCAACACGTATATTTTCGACCGCGGAAATGAAATTCCAGAAACCATTGTGAAGAAAGCGAAAGCCAATGAAAATGTGTTACCTGGAACATCAGGATCCATATACATATGAAAAAGAATACAAAATTTTCCTTAATTGGAAGATTAAGAAGTGGCTTACTTCCAAGAATTGGTGAGTTATTCTGTTTATAAAATAATTATTTAACTGTGTTCTTCATTTTTAGTCAGAAAAATATTCACCCAGTTCCTTATGGTCAAAATACTCGATGGTCAAGACAACTTTAAGAGTAAACGACAACATAGACATTTCTAATTATCATCGTTTGACATATTTCTATAAAAAACCCAAAAGGTTATGTGGCAAAAAAATCCCGAGTTTTGACTGGCGAACAAGTCATGCAATTTCTAAAAGATGCTTCCGACAACAGATATTTACTTCAGAAGGTAAACTAAGTTATTTTTTGATGATTGTAATTAATTTAAATACGAATGTATTTAATGATTTAATTAAAATTATGCTGTCAAAAATGCCAAGTTAAAATGATAAATCAAAACCTTCTATGATGTGCCAACATTTTTTAATCAAAATAATTTTTATTTTTTAAAGCACAAATTAACAAATTACTGCAAAAAGTTGTAGTGGAAATTAAAATAAAACCCTACGGCTATTTTCTCCGCAAAAATCATCTCCGGGTTTTCACCCCACAAAAGTTAACATGGGGATCCCTATGGCCACTTTTAAAAAAGATGCACTGTACATAGGAACTGTAAACATTTTGGCAGTATAGAATGTGTAAAAATTTTATATACTGCATTTGTTAGATCAAGATTCGAATATGGTTCACTAATTTGGTATCCGATCTATAACGTCCATATTAACCGCATTGAATCAGTACAAAGACACGTCCTGAAGTATTTATCTTTTAAAGACAACGAGTTTTATCCGCCACATGGCTATAGTCAAACATTACTTTTGGGTAAATTTCAGTGTTTATCCCTGGAAAATCGACGTGCAATACTCACAATTAAATTTTTATATGACCTATTGCTAATGAAAGTGAACATTAATATTACTAGGCTTAGTGCAAGGCATCTACAAACTTTTTATTTAAACAAGCCAAGAACCAATATGCTCAAAAAATTTCCAATTAACATATTATGTAATAACACGAATTTGTACTGCAGCAATATCAATGTGTTTTTCGATAGTTTTAGTACTATTAAACGGCTTCTGTGCAGTAGCTTCGGTAGTTGACTTATTAAAGTTCTATTATATCTCAGTGCTACAATCCCACAGTTGAAGTAAGGTGTGTTTTACGGCGAGCAGCGGGGACGTTTTGATCTGGTCCACAAGGTCGTCTCTAGGAGTGTTTACAGTTAGTAAAAAAACTACTTCTATATTACTATATTACTTCAAATAATAATACTCGGTGCCCTTTTTAATTTTTCAACCACAGGACCACAGATTTGTAAACCTGAAATGTTGATATAGTCCAAAAGAAAAATATATTTGTAATCAAACTATCGACGAGGCAGCACTGGATCGAGCCTATGAGATATTATTCCGCGCGTTGATTATTATTGTATATGTATAGTTATATTTTATCTAAATTTTTCTTGTGTAGCATATATGTACTATGTAATACCAAACCTAATTTAGGATAAGTTTATGGCTTGTTTTATCGAATATTTACATACATACTTTTATGTTTCTTGTTTGTTCTATTATGTACAGTTAAATCCATAAGCTTGTAACCACTCGTTAAATTGTAAGGTTGGCATTACAGCCAATGGTGTTTTTTACATGAACAGATTGGTAACGGCGCATGTGTCAAAATTTGACAATCACGCGCGAGCGAGTTTTATTTAAATATCTCACAGTTTGTTATTAAACCATATCATTGAAAAATGGTACCAACACGGCATATTGTGATAAATAAGCAGATGAAAATGGCACTTGCCAACTGTCACAATGGATTGAAACTTGCTTATCCCCAAGCATCCTCCCGAGAACTTGAATTCAAGCTTGCAAAAATCTTTTCAGTATGTAGTTATTCTTATACCATGGACGAAGAGCACTATACTATGAGAGTAACGTATCGACATTCGGATTATGTTATTACAACATGGTGGTCTGTCGAAGGACTTTCAGTTTTAACTACCTCAAGTTGAAAGTGTATATCTCGCTTTTTAGTTTAACATTGTCTTTTCAAGTTTTATACCCACTCTTTATATCCTACACAATACAACTAAATGTCCCTCATTAAATTCAAACACTGCAGAAACTTTCCTTGTAAACTCATTTATTCCTATCCTTTCCATAGTGTTCCCGATGTCAAGCCCACAAAATTATAACCCAACCCCAATCTGGAGAACCTTTACAAGAAGTAAAGTGGAAACCAAAACAAAAATCGCAGTGGTATTCAAATTTGGAATTTAACGAAGATCTAACCTACCGTATATTTGACAAAAACAAAAAAAAAATTGTTTTTTACTATTCGGGATTTATTTATTTTTGCGAAAGAACATCTGGAATATACAGCAAGTTTAAATACTTTACATCGAGTATTAAAATCCATGGGATTCAGATTTAAGAAAGTTAACAGAAAAATTTTTGCTTTTTGGTTATTTGGTCTGTGTTCCCAATGTTTCTAACCACTCCTGTAACAGTAAGTTTAAATAAACTGTCAAATTATTTTCAACATACCTATTATTTTAGCCTCTGAATTTTGTGAAGTTACATTTTGTTCATTATTACCACTAAAATTCTCAGGACAGAGGAGCATAGTGGCTATGCTCCTCCACCTATCACCTTCAACCAAATTCCTTGTACACTTTGTAAATAATTAGTAGTTCCAAATGAGAGTTATTAAACATAACATTAAAGACTTCTTGGTGTCTAATTTTTTTATGAAAAATTGGTCAACTGTTGCGACTAATTAAGGTGAACAGTTATCTACCTATTATAGACAATTTTGGTGTTGCTCGCGAGATTGATCATTTCAGTTGGGAGAGCTGGTCCTTCGAGTCAAATCATATCATGGTTAGCCACACATATATCCCGTACACTCATGTACAATAATTTAAACAAATTCTGAATTAGGTATTCAGTTATTCCCCATCTGTAAAGCGATTTTTATAAAGCAGCAACAATAAATAAATCAATTCACCTTGTTTTTTTACCAGCCCAATATCTGATTTCATTCGTGACTCGTATTTTTGGGTTCGTTTTATCGTAATTCGTAAACGTATCGACTGCAAGTCTAAATTACAGTAGGTGGTATTCTTCTTTCTGCAGATGAAAGATAAAACACGTTTCTATTTATCGTTGCTCTTGTATCATAATTACCATGAAGACTCAGGTTATCGTGTTTTTATTGAAAATTGTTTATCAATTTTTACAATATTGCGACAAGTTACAATGATAATTATGAAATAACTTGTGCAGGAGTGCAAGAATTGCAATGAAATCGAACGTAATCATGTGTCGCGAATACATGAATGAACTGACATTATATTGACAGATCACCAGATATGTTACCAGGTTATTAAAAGACAGATTTACACTGAATAATTTTTTAAAATTTACACTAGGGAGTGGTTACAACCTTATGGATTTGAGTTTACATATATTTAATTTTAGTCTAAAATATTTTTTTATATCCAGCATTTTTATTAACTTTTTCCTGTATTTGGGTTCATCCTGTTGGAAAATAAACTATTATTATTATTATTATTATTAACCATCAGTTTTATAAAAGAAGTCTTTGGTCCCTTTCTAAAATAGATAATTAAAAGAAAGGTCACTTTTTAAAGAATATTGATGACCTACCTTGGCAAGATCAAGATTTAAATTTTCAAAATATTTCGTAAGATCTAGATCATTTGGATTGTAATTATCGCACTTATAAATTTATTTGGTATTTACTGTTCCGATTTTTGAATCATAAAGCTGGATTTCATAATTGTCAGAAATAAAATTATTTTGTTAAGTGTTTTTTGTACAAATTCAAATAGCTATACTATAAGACTAAATACCTCTACGTTTCCTCCTTGATTTAGCACCAAAAGGTCTATATTTACACTTCTTTCTTGCTAGCATCCAAGTCCAATCACCACCGCATTCCAAAATATGTCTATGTAATTCCGTTAAACTATTGCACAGTTTGTCACATTTAGTACACGATCTAGCGTCGCTTCTTTTCCACACTTTGCACTGCACTATATTTTCTAAAACTCCAACTTTTCCTAAAACAGGAATACTTAAGTGTTTGTACAACTGACTTTGATTTCCAACAAATTCATAATGTTGAACCCATATATATTGATGAGAGGTACTCTTATGCTCCAAAAATTGTTTGATATTCTCGAGTTTAAGTCCACATGCGGCACAAACAAATATTCTTGATCTTGCCCATTCCCCTGTAAGTTCCACTTTTTCATTTTTCCCTCGCACTGTATTGCTTGGATGTTCAAAATTTTCAGTCTCTTGTGATGAACAAATCAAGGCAATTTTGTCAGATCGATCGATCTCATCTTCAGGTATAACATCTGTACTAGGTCGTAAATTTAGATAGCTAGGTATTGCAGGAACAATGTTTTCATCAAATTGATTAATACTTTTTGATAACGTTTTCACTGACGGATAAGAATGTTTCGCTAACTCAAAAACTCTATTTAAAATGTCATTCAATAACTCTCCAATTTCTGTGAAATGGTCGTCATTCGAGGAACTATCGTCACCATTTAATTTATCTAATGCTGCCTTTTTGCTAACCTCTTCGCGCAAGTCTTCGAAAGGACCCCTTCTATCCAAAATTCGATTAAGTTCTTCTCGTTTCATTATATTTTTGTATTCTTCACCAGCAAAATAATCTAAAATTTCTTTTGGACTTCTTTTATCATCTAATATTTTTTGCTGTCGACTTTTAATAACGAATTGTGTCCACATATCCAGTTTACTAAGATCTCTATTTTCTTTGTGCTCCAAGATACTTGCTTGGTACTTTCGACGTGTGAAATATTTGTAATGAACCTCATCCTTTTTTAACTGAGTTTTCTTTTTAGAGGGCTTAGAACCATATTCAATTTGTGACTCAGGATCATCCCCCAGTTGATTAGATAAAAGCAGAGTAGTTGGTGTAACCGCATTCAACGAAAGTTCGCATCCATAATTTTCGGTATTTAAATTTTGTGTTTCCTGAGGAATGTTTGAAATTTTTTCAAAATTTGATATTCTGTTCTCCGATTCTTCATTTTTGAATAACTTACCATCAATATGATGTAACAAATTTTCTTGAATATTACATTTAATTTTATTAAAGAAAGCTTTATCAAATACATCATCAAAGGTGAGGGAGCTAATTTTCAAATTGTCAATGGAATGATCCGTTATTTTCTTAACTTGAAAAAAATTATCAAATTCTGGATATGGATTTACAAAATTTGATGTTGATTTAATTGGCCTCTCATTTAATTTCGAAGTAAATGGCTGTTCTAACCGATCATTTTTCTTCTTTTCGTTATAATTTTTTGTGCGTTGTTTCTTGCCTGTACTGTTTAATTTGGCCTGTAGCCGTTTACTCCTCTTTAATATCATTCGTGAACTTTTAACCGATATTTTTTTAGTTCGAAAATTTTTTATGTTGTATGTTTTATTTGAATCTTCAATACTGAACCCTCCATTTTTAATTTTTCCAAGAATTACTTTACTCTTGTTCACTTTCTGTTTTTTACTAGTTGTCGTACCAAGTATTTCTTTTCGATTTTCTTCCACTTCTACATACGAAGGCGAGTTAAAAGAATCAAATAAATTTTCACAATTCGTAGACAATTCTTCAGTGGCGACGACGAGCTTATGATGCAGAACGTTGTGATCCGTAAGATGGGAAAAATTAACGAATCTCATTTCACATGATAAACAGCCAAAATACTTATTAGCATGATTTTCTACCAAATGTTTGAAAAGATCTTTTAAAGTACGCTCTGTGAATGTAAATTTATCACAATAAATACACGGTGTACATGTAAACAAGTTCTGATGTTTTCTCAAACTCACACGTCGTAATTGCTTGGACGAGTGGCACCTCTCGACATGTTTCTGACGTAAGTTGACATTAACAAATGTTCGGTCACAGTATAGACACAAGACCTTACGAAAAACTTTCATTTTGTTTTCGTCTGTCTCAGAGGATGTATACATAGATAATATTGTTTGTACTTTGTCTAATGGTAAACTGCAGAATATACTTTTCTTCGTTCTATGAGACTCCAAGTCATTTACACACTGCGTGAAGTCATAGTCACCATTTTCTTCTATATGGTCATTAAAGTCGTTTTCAGATGATGTCGGTACAGCAGTCTGTATCCCACAGGACTCCCTGGTTCCAAGTACTTCCGTAAAATCATGTTTCATTTGAATTGCACTGCTGGCAGTAAGTGGACTTGGTGATGTTTTACTGTGAAACCCAATTGTTTGCATACAACTAGCTGTTGTGTTTCCATTTCGATCTGATCCAAACGATCCGCTATTTACCATACTGCTACTCCCCTCGTTTTGAACCTGTAAAAAATAGTTACTGCAGTAATAAATTATCACAATCTTGTAAAAAAAATAAGTATACTTGTAAAAAGCGAAAGGGAACTAATTTGTCATAAAATATATGCAGTACAAGTGCCACATACACATGTTGGGACGTTTTCTACTCTTAGGTGAGAATATATAAATATAGACATATACCTACAGTTTAATGTTGATCATAACGTAACTGTGTTATTCGCACGTCAATCAAATTACAGACTTATTTCTTATTATATAGTGGATTGTATTTTAGACATCCTGATAGACAATTCATAATAGAGAACAGAACGGAATAAATAAAGTTTATTCTACTCTCCAATTACTAAATCACCAAAAATTTCAATAAAGTCCATTACATAGTTTCTACACAAATTATGAAATTTGACTGTAAAAATTTCATTTCTTTTAGCCGAGCCTTATCCGGAAATAGACGAGAAATATTAAATTGCTGCACACTTCATGTAGGCTACATTTGTACTTGAGACGTTATCAATGTTTTGGAGGGAATGAGTACACACAATTTGGTTATAAGTTCTGCCTAAATAACCTTAGACTAATTTTTTACAGAACAGTCTATGTTGGAAAAGTTAGCAAAAGATGCAAGTGTAACAAATGTGTATAATAAATGTATTTATTGACCAATATAACAAAATTTCAATTACAGGACAACAATATATGCGAGAACATAAATAATACATTAATTGCTAATATGCAAAAAAATAAAATAAAATAAAAATATTATAAAAGAAAAATTATATTACATCAAAATAGAAGAGAAATTTATTTTTTATTTGTTAAAAACGTTATGTACGTCCTACGTCGTTGTCAAATGTAATATTTAATGTAATTTCTTGATCCGTACTGCGCCACCGTTCTATTTAGGTAAAGATGTGGGGACAACAAATCTGCACAAGTTTCAAACTAACATAACTTTGTTATTCAATGACGAATCAAAAATGTGATTATTAACATTTATAATACCCACTTTAAAGAATACAGTCTGCACCATGTCTACTTGCTTCGCGAATTTTAATACTTGTTTTAACACGGTGCCTTAAATTTGTGAAAGGCGACATTTTTGTCTGCCAGATTCTTTCAACAAAATACACAGCTTAATTCTACATGTGTGGAGGGTTCCCACCCAATTTCACAAATTCCTCTAAAAGGTGTTTGCGAAATGCACCGACAAAAAAAATGAAAATTGGTCTGGATGAATAGCTATCATTAAGAAAAAAATGTTCTAATAAAAGTGTTTTAGTTTTCGAAATAAAATTAATTCAAAATTTAGTCAAAATAGCATGTACGCTACTGAGTTAATAGTGATTAAAAACATAATGTGGTTACTAAGAAAAATGTACCATTGTAAGTGCATTGTAAAAAAAAAAAAATGTAGTCTTCATTGTTTCCTAGTAACTAAAAATTCCGTCAAATTTATTGACTTTTAAAATGGCAGCTTTTTCTATTGCCGAAATGACCGATATGGTCTTGATTTACGGAAGAGCATTTGGAAATGCTCATGAAGCGCAGCGTCTCTACTAGGAGGAATTTCCAGGCCGAAGATTGCCTAATCACACAACATTTAGTGTCGTTATTCAACGTCTCCGGGAAAACGGCAAATTTCAGCCAAGTACGACGAATCGTGGTCGTGAAAAAACCGAACATGTTATAGATGTGGAACCAGAAATACTAGAAATTGTGGGAGAAAACCCAAGCATAAGCATTCGCAGATTATCATACAGATTAGGAATTTCTCCGTTTATTGTGTGGCGAACCCTAAAAGAACAAGGGCTACTTTCACAAGAGAAGGAGTTTTTAATTCTCGTAATACTCATATTTGGTCTCATGAAAATATGCATGCCATATGGGAAACGCATTTTCAAGACAGATTTTCAGTAAATGTCTGGACAGGCATGGTTGACAACAATTTGATAGGTCCATACGTTCTGCCCCCTCGCTTGATGGCGGTTGCGTATTTAGATTTTTTAAACAACGATTTAGGACCACTTTTGGAAAATATACCCTTAAATGTTCCTAGGGATCTATGATACCTTCATTGTGGGCCCCTGCACATTATGCCGTAGAAGTGCGGGAATGGTTTGACCGAAACTTTCCAAACAAATGGATTGGGACGAATGGACCTGTGTTGTGGCCACCTCGTTCTCCCGATCTCAATTCCTGTGATTTTTTTTTGGGGGTTACATGAAGTAGGTAGTTTATCAAACTCCAGTGAATACGGTGCAAGAGTTGACAAATCGCATTCAAAATGTTGCTGCCCAGATTAGGAGTAATCCAGATGTGGTTAGAAGAACGCAGCGGTCATTAATTCGGCGAGCAGAATCATGTGTGCAAAATAGAGGCTGTCATTTCGAAAACTTGTTGTAGTTGTTGGTTTAATGTTGTGTTAATTTTATTCTTTATTTTTATTTTGATTAGTAAAGTTTTGTTGCTTATCGTCGTTGAAAAGTCTTATTCTTATTAGTAGTTTCTTTTTGTTAACTATGCTCATTCATTAATAAGTCTGTACATAACTAGAGAAAATGACAACAGCCTGAAAAAGAACACGCAGACGATTACCTATCATGTCGGAATTCCTGTGGAACCAAGATCGGCGGACCACTGTACAGAACCGCGTTCTTATAAGAACTGAAAAAACCACAGCGGGACGCGAAAAACGGGAAAGAAGACCCGCGACTTTGGACAGTGGTTCGCCGGCCCTCGTTCTAATAAAACCTCGACGCAAAGAAAATTAAGTAAAAATGACTAATTACTACCATTTAAAATAATTCTTTACTTCAAAATGTTTAAACATCCAGCTAAAATTGAGTGTTTCTGAAAAAATAATTTTGACTTTTTACTTGAGATTTTTCAAACTTCGCCTTTCGTTGTCAGTTTTTGGTTGCTATGTTTTTACAAAACGTGAATTAATTGAATCTGATAGCACCTCTAACAGTGGCGCGAATAAAGCTTGGATAAAGGGTAAATCTACTTTACAACTTCTGATAATACAACAGGAGTTTTTTTCATTCCCTACGCTCTCGGGAACACCTTCATTTTTTTGTCGGTGCATTTCGCAAACACCCTGTATAATATTCAGTTAACTATTCCATTATCACACACCCAAAATGTAAAAAGTTCCAAGAGGAACTAGCGATAACGAGTAAGGTCAAAAACCTACGTGCGTAGTTCGTTCTCTCTCGCTAGGTGTCGGCGGGAAGTTTGAATGTCCATGGCCATTAATCTCTAAAGAGATATGGCCGTTTCATTCGACATTTTTTAACAAGAACGGAAAGTATGCCATGGAGTGACCGTAAACTAGCGAATTCTAGTGATATGTGTATTAATTTTTAATTAGAGATCTCTGACATTGATTTTTTTATGCTAATGTGAGCGACAATTGCAAAAAGAACGTCAAAATTTTAGAAGTATTATTTGTGGGACAAGACCAGTAAACCATTCTTTGAATTTCCAACTGACCAACATTTAAGAATCACATGGTATTTCAAAATTACATGGACGATGTTCAACGGTGACTGCAGAAACGAAAGGCCTGTCACATGAGACAGCATATGCGTTGAAATTGAGAGCTGAGAGCACATACGTATCTATGTATAAAATTTCTTCTGAGACAAGCAATTCTCAGTTTGTATAAGGATACTGTATCACAAACAGATATTTATTCGGTTTCTGTCGCTTTTTTGCCAGCGAGGGTAGATTATTAAAAAATTGGGTGACAAATTTCACTCTGATGACTATCACTTCCTTTGTCAGATGGCACCACTATACGGACATTTTCAATTGTTTGGATGGCCAATTCATAAATGCCGATTGGAACGGCCATATCTCTTTAGAGATTAATGGAGTTGGCCATGGAATATCTTTATGAATGTCTATGCGCAGGAAGGGGGAATTGAATTGTCTGGGCGCGGGTGCGGGAAGTTTATATGTCGGTCTCTCTAGTCTGCGCGCGGGAAGTTTGTGCGCGAAAAAAGCGAATTTGCCTGGTGAGGAATTCGAACCCAATGATCAACCGTACTGTTTTACCACACAACGAACCAGACTTATTATTATTAATGTAGCGCCCTACAGAAAAATTTCAAAAACGGGCGGCAAACCGATATTAGATCAAATATAAAAACCCAACTACTAAAATCTAAAGAACCTTTGAATACGCCTGTGTTAAACTCTTAACAATTTGTTCCCAATTATCGTAAAATATATCAACTCTACTGCTAATTCCGTTGTAATATTGGCACATATTGTGCATCGGCGATTTCAGCCCTACAGTTGTCCTACATACTGGTAATTTAATGTATATTCATCTCTCGTCTCAAGCCTTGGCACAAAAAAATTAATTTTCTGTAGAATGTCAGAACTGGAGCTTTTACCATGTACAAGCTTATAAATAAAAAAACACTGTGCACTGTTCTTCTAAATTTTAAAGGGACAATATTGAACTTATCAAGAAAATCCCTTTCTTTCACACCTTGTGGACGATATATTATTTTTTCTTTAAAATATAAATATTTCAAGAACCGCCTCTGTACGTTTTCCAAAGCTTTACTTTGTTGCATATAATAAGGAAACCAAACTTCAAAACAATATTCCAATTTACATCTCACCAGACCAAAATATAAAATTTTAAGTGCATCAATATTATCAAATTCTCTGGTATTATGCGTAATAAATCCCAACAATTTATTCAACATTGCTGTCACATATTTGATATGTTCATTAAATGACATCTGGGTATCAAAAATTATTCCCAAATCAGTAATTGCGGAGACTCTCATAATATCACTCCTAAGAAGGGCATAATCAAAATTAATTTTATTAATGTTACGGGTGTAAGACATCACCTTACATTTGTTGCTGTTAATCTCCAACTCATTTAACTTATACTATGATAAAGCATTGTGAACGTTGTACTGTAATACCAGGCAGTCATCTACGGTATTAATGTTTTTATACAATTTTACATCATC